AGTAATTACCAAATAACTTAATAACCCTATAATAAATCTTATATTAATATATAAATACTTATATAAAATTATATATAGGTATGATTGTTACTTAGACAACCTCATATGATTTTTATTATATTTAAATTTTAAAGCAAGTTATGAGTATTTCAAGATGCTTAAAAAAATTAAAATTTTAAAATACTCGCTTTTAATTTAATATATAATAAAAAGCATATGAGGTTGTCTAGATAATAATCTTACCTTTGAATTTTATAGAAGGTCAGTTCACTCTAATTTTTAAGCTAACGGAGCTACACGTGTTCTGCAGAACGTAAAATTTACTATATAATGCACTTGTAAGACGGAGACAACACRTGCGGGTATCACATCCTCTTAACAAAAATTCATTTTACTCTGTTTTTAAAAAAGAGTGAATTGACCCACTATAAAATTTATAAGTAGATTATTGTCTAGGGCACAATATATGATTTTATTGATATTATTACTCTTACATGATCATTTTAAAATGTACAAAAATTGTAGTTTCAATAAAGTCATAACTTACTTCAAAATGATAGGTATCAATTAAAGGTTACATTGTACCCTAAATGATAATCATATGTAAAAGTTAAATTATAAGTCAATCACTCAAATATCAAAATTAACAGCTCGCAATTGAAACTTGTGAACTAAATCCGTTATTTTGTGTGTGTGTAAACATAAACATTTTTTAATTTTGTGTATTATCAATAAATAAAATTTATTAATTTATAATCATTTTRTTTTAGAAATGGTGGTTCTGGAAATTATTCGGCCCTTTGTCGTAACTGCAATGGTTCTGGACATATGGCTCGAGATTGTCCGGAAGGTAACAAACAAAGTTGTTACAATTGTGGTGAACAGGGGCATTTGAGTCGTGAATGCCGCAAACGTAACTAGTTCCAGAGTTTCTACACCTAATCTAATTATCACATTTTTCAAATTCGAAGCCAGGAAAAAAACAAGGATAAACATATATCAAGAAAAATTATAATAAAATCTTCTTGTTTTACATTCTTCTATCAATAGTGGTAGAATTTTTTTTATAACAATCATATTGTTCACATTATATTTGTGGGGATTAAGCTTCAAAATTTGATTTTTAATTGAACAAAACTTATGTATATTAATAACAACAACAAATTCAGAAAAATTGTTCAAATACTACATCTCAATGTTTATGTTTGTTCTTTGTCAGTCGGCCTGTTTTCTATATATAAATCAAACATTTATTGTATGTAAGGGATTTGTTATTGTATTGGTCTTGTTTTTTTTTTATTTAATAAAACCTGGCTACACCGAGTTTATATCAAAGTGTTATCTTTAAGTTACATTTTGATGTAACCCAACAAATATTATTTTTTATAAAATTGTTCACAAAATAGTCAGATTTTATTTTATTTTTTCATATTCTTTACAATACTAATTTGGTATATACCATGARAATAGGGAATCAGTTAAAGTATTAGAAATATTTATAAAATCAAAAGAAAAATATTTAATATCAATTTTCCAACTCCCTAATTTAATATAACAAATACATTTATTAATATTACTTTCTCTTATATATCGACACTAATTTACAAATTTAATTTAAWGTTCATATTTTAAATCTTGAAATATAGTACTCAACTGATTTATTGTAGTTCTATTGATTTGCGTGTTCAAAATGTTATTGCTTTGGTTAAATAAAAAATTTTGTGAACTGCATACAATAAATTGAATTTATAATTTATTAGTAAACAACAAGCGTCATCATTCCATTTACTTAATAAATATTTTAATCTCGATATAAATTATATATTGACAAATATTAAGTTTAATGTAGAATTTTACCTCAAGAATCTTTTGTTACTTAGATACTGTTGCAAAATATCCAATGATAATTCCCTTTTAATTAGGTTATTAAGCATTTAAATATTTGTTAGCTACAGGTATGAGGTTATTTTTTTATACAAAAATTCAAATTTGTTTTTATTTATTGAGAATATTGTNAATAGGGAATCAGTTAAAGTATTAGAAATATTTATAAAATCAAAAGAAAAATATTTAATATCAATTTTCCAACTCCCTAATTTAATATAACAAATACATTTATTAATATTACTTTCTCTTATATATCGACACTAATTTACAAATTTAATTTAAWGTTCATATTTTAAATCTTGAAATATAGTACTCAACTGATTTATTGTAGTTCTATTGATTTGCGTGTTCAAAATGTTATTGCTTTGGTTAAATAAAAAATTTTGTGAACTGCATACAATAAATTGAATTTATAATTTATTAGTAAACAACAAGCGTCATCATTCCATTTACTTAATAAATATTTTAATCTCGATATAAATTATATATTGACAAATATTAAGTTTAATGTAGAATTTTACCTCAAGAATCTTTTGTTACTTAGATACTGTTGCAAAATATCCAATGATAATTCCCTTTTAATTAGGTTATTAAGCATTTAAATATTTGTTAGCTACAGGTATGAGGTTATTTTTTTATACAAAAATTCAAATTTGTTTTTATTTATTGAGAATATTGTGTTAAAATTTAAAATTGGTGATTGTTACAATTTATTATTTTTGAGATGGTTTCAAGTTATTAGTAAGGATTAATTATTAATTTCTCATATAAAATTTACAATTTTTGTATCATTTAGTTTTTCTTAAAATTATTCTTCAAGTACCTATGTTAAATTTTATATAAAATGAAAAAAAATTATTTTTTGTTTTTATTTAAAATTTTAATTCATSACCTTGGTATATGATAAATAATTATGATAATCTTGAAACTGCCATAAAATAAATTTKGGATTCAGAATACTGGAAATCTAAGAATTGCTGATTAATTAGCATGAACTAAGAGTGTTCAAATATTGGATTTTTATTTATAATATATTTGTAGTTATGACTTAACACTCCAATAAATATTTGTCTAGCTTAAATATTTATTATTTCAATAGTTAAAACTAAATAACTTATAAACTAAAGGGGGTGCATAGTGGAGCATATTATCATGAAAGTTAGAGAATTAAGACAAAGTAGTGTCCATAATTTGTTGCCATGCTTGGAGGTATACGTAATTGTGAAATTAAACATCTTGATCTTTACTCACATTTATTTCTAAATACTATCCCTAAATTATATTTAAGTATTATAAAATATAAATATTTTTTCATATTATCATAATAGTATAATTTTGTTAAAAATCCAAAAAAAAAACTGTGATAGAATGAATTGAAGAAATTGAAGAAAAATAAGCAGTAACACAGTGTATGACTGCTGCGGCAGGTAGGTTA